GCTCTAAAGTAATGGATGGTAAGGATTGGGAACCAGTAAGACCCTTCGGAAAAATTTCAGGAAAAGACTCCAAGCAGAACTTATACAAGGTACTGTTTATTTCAAGCTGTACAAGATGTTTCAACTTAATAGTCTGTTGGTGAATCGCTTACCTGTGACAATAAAATGAAAGGGAAGAGAAGAGCTCTGATCTTTAACAAAACGCAAATAGTCAACAAAGCATATAATTTTAACGCAGTCACTTTAAGAGTAACACGGTTTTGTTTATCATCACTGATTGTCCTCGGGTCTCCTCCGGAGACAACACGAGGCCTCAGGAAAAGTATTATGATATTTTTAGAGCACGGTGATATTTCGTCGGCTCACGAAATTGAATCAAACGTTAGTTAGAGATTGGTCAGATTGTGAGAATAAGGAGAAAACTGAAATTTCAATTTGTTCTGAACTCAGTTAGTCATGACATAGTGTGAAGTTTTCGCAATTTCCTGCGCTCCCAATGGTTTGACTGCTATAAATTCGAGATAAGATTAGCTCCTTGGGATATTTTCTTTGTTTTAATTGCCGTTTAGTTGTTCTTAGAAAAGCATTCTTCTGAGGAGAACTTTTGGAGTATAGCCTTTGGAATAGAGCACTTTTCAACTGAGTGTTGAGGGTGGGTTTTGCTCACGTCGCTGTATGATTGGCCCAGAAAACCCGTGCCACTTTTTCGACCAATCAGATTTAAAACCAAAACAAAATGCTGCTTGGTCACTCGCTTTTCCCGCTCTTAAGGCAGCTTGCTTGTTCTTTTACCACGAGTTCTCACTGGCTCCTGGTGTATTTTCCTCACTATGGTTGGCTGTTGTCGACACTCAATCGAAAAGCGCTCAAAACGGTTTCTAACTCAATTGCTTCAGCCGCTCGCATACCACTACAAAAACTTCAACACTCCTACAATGCAATTCAATCACTTACATGAAACAGGATTCAAACTTAAAAACCCTAACGTTTTTTTTTTTTTTCAGCAGAAAAATATATATACTTTCACCTAACTAGTGTGAATTCAAATTCCCGACTCTCAGACATTAGTATCACATGCCAGAGCGTGTCTGCCGCAAGGGAGGGGTACCAGAGGCACTATGCGGTGATTCAGATCTACCGACAGGACCACCGAGGGGTTTTTGCTCCATCATTTGTTGAATTAGATGTGAGTGAGCTGGCGGGGATTGCCGCATCATTGGGTTCGCTTGAGGATGAAGTGGCTGAAAATAAATCAGTAAATAAGTAAAACGAATGGAAATCTAAGTTTTTCCCCAATACGGACCTCCCGTCTGGTGAATAACATATATGTATGTACACAGCCATTACTGAATGAGGACGCGACTTTTTCAAGGGTTATATTACTTTTCTCTTGCTCTTACGCACAGTAAGCGGAAACGTACATCGCAGTTTCACTGGCCCCGATTCTACCACACCAAGTCAACTCCATACCGCTTTTCAAGATCTTCCTCGAGCGCACCTAACTGTAGTCAATCTTCAGCTACCAAAGGTTCCTTGAGCAGGATTTCACAGCGCAGTTGAACTTATTATTATGTATTCTCTATGTCCTACATGTTAATGTCAATGTTTGATTAGTGACAAAAGGTCTTAGTAGGCCTACAAGTCCGTGAGGCGTGGTAGATCCGTCCCAAACTTCTCGCCGCTTTGACACTCGCTATTACGTTTTGACGCCGCTTGATGCTTCAACTATGCAAGCAGTTTTTTTTTTCTTTAAGTTTTCAAAGATTTCCGAACAAAACCTATCACTTTCCAACCCCTACTCCCCCTCCAAAGAAGGAAAAACAAAACGTAACAAGAAAAAGCAAAACGAAGTACCCCCTTCATTATATTATGAGAATAAACATCGTCACGATCGTCACCTGTGGTCGTATAGGTGGGACCATTGGTTTTATCAGTGGAGGCGGGCCCTGCAGACCCCCCTGACTGGTTCGTGGGACTCCGACCTGAGCTTGCAAGGGGGGAAGATGACGTTGAGCTTGTGATCCAGACGGCTTTAGAAGAGGCGGTGGCTGACTGGGGAGGCCTGGAATGGGATGCAAATCAAAAGTTTTGCTTTTCAGCGTAAACTCACCTCAGGGAACTTTTTCAGGGCACATTTCCATCGCGTAATCACAACAGTTAATCAGAGGGAAAATAAAATTCTCAGGAAGCCGATGTGAACTCCACCTCACAAAAAAAAACCAAAACAAAACAAAACAAGCAAACTGCCTTAGCTAGTTACGATCGGCTTAAGTTTTGAGTCCTATTGGTTGGAAAAGTATCGCGAGTTTCTGGACCAATCCCAGAGCAAAGTTAAGCAAAACTATTTAAACTAATCTCTGACTACTCTCCACAGTAATAAAAATTTCTCTGAGAGTCCAAGGTAATTCAGAACGATCATCTGGGAATGCAGTGGTTTAGGTTCACTGCACTATGTGACCGGTCTGGGAACGCGACTCATCCTCTCAAAAAATCAGAAGCACACTCGTGTTTCCCCAGTGCATCAAGCAGCCTTTTTTCACTGCTTCTGGAATACTTACCTTTTCCCTGATTATCGACTTATGTGACTGATGATTCTAGCTATATCGAAATCCCATCAAAACTCTAACCAGGAACCAACAGAATAAAACTGCAACAAGCATATCGCCTCCACAAGCAGAATTATGTAAGCAGCAGTATTCAATTTTGTTCCATACATGTACGTTTGAAAATTGCACAGAAGACAAATACTTACCCTGATTGGGAATGGACGGAGAGGACCTGTCTTGTTGATTGGGAGATGAGTTTCCACTGCTTCCGGGAGATCCTGACATGTGCAGAACCTGCAAGTCATCGTCTTTTCTGTCACTGCTTGTGATTCCTTGTTCCGCTTCATACTCTTCCAGAACTTGTTGAAGATTGAAGCGTCTTCGGTAGTTTACGAAGAAATTTCGGCACTGGCTGACACTCTTATTGCCCAAGACTTCAGCCATGGCTTGGAAGTCTTTCCCATAGCGTCTAACGGCTATGCAAAAAATACGCAAACATCAAACCTCCTCGAAGCAACCACACTTAAATTTGATATCAAGCCTTCATCCGAGTTTTCAAGTAGAGCAATTTTCATCTCCGTATCGAAGCATTCATGATCTGCACTACTTTTCTTAGCAAACTATGTTGTGTTTTATCACTAAACGGAAATCGAAATTTCTGACGCCTACCTTCTACTGTCAGCACACACTACTTGTTAAGAATAAGATACTTTTCCGCCCCTTCCTTCCCAGTTAATTCAAGGAGCAGAGGAAGGGCGTGCAAAATCAGGGTTCCTGTTTGATATAAACCCCTGCTGTGACCATCACATTGTCGCTTAGTGATCACAAGTCAACCAGTCTCTGACTGAGGCAAGATAAAGAGGAACTAATTCCAAACTTACATTGCACCGCTAAGAGAAGCTCATCGTTTGACCATCTGGCATTGTTTTTGTTATTTTGCTAAAAAATATAAAATAAAACAAAAAAGAAATGGAAAAAAACATTTCACTACAAGAAAAAAACGTTTCTTCGCGGTATACTTATCAAGTCTAAAGTTAAAGACAGTAAATTATATGTATCATTTTCATCACAAGTGGCGTGTAACTAGAGGTACAAAACAGGTCAAAATTCCTTGGGATGGTAACTGAACATGTCCCACATCCAAATATATGTAGAGTATTACAAAAGACCACTTGTTGTTTCTTTATGGTATACTTATCAAGTCTGAAGTTAAAGACAGTAAATTATATGGATCATTTTCATCACAAGCGGCATGTAACTAGAGGTACAAAACAGGTCAAAATTCTTTGGGATGGTAACTGAACATGTCCCACATTTATATATATGTAGGGTATTACAAAAGACCACTTGTTGTTTCTTCATGGTATACTTATCAAGTCTAAAGCTAAAGACAGTAAATTGTATGTATAATTTTCATCACAAGTGCCGTGTAACTAGAGGTACAAAAGAGGTCAAAATTCCTTGGGATGGTAACTGAAAACATATCCCACATTCAAATGTATGTAGGGTATTGCAAAAGAACACTTATTGCCAATTCAGGTGTGTACACAGAACTTCACCCCCCCCCCCCTTCCCTAACAATGATGGAGACCAGACAGTCACCATGCCTTGGTAAAGTTTATAAAGCACACAAAATTCAAAATACTTAGGGGGGGAGTGGGAGGATTAAACTTTCGTAACATCCCGTTCTATGTTTTAACCTCCCATTGTAGCTTTAGCATGGAGTGTGAACTGCCATCGCATCAATATCAGTATCTGGGCAACTGTCCACCTACCCCTCCCCTAACCCAACATTAACTTTAAATTGTTATCAATTGACTGTTGTTGAGTTAGGGAAGGGGTAGGTGTGCAGGACACTGTGACAGTGCTACTGCAGTTCTGCTCTGAATATGTCATATGATCTTAGAAAATAACCAACACACTTTTTTCTTTCAAACACAGTGTTCAAACCCCTATCAAAGTTTCTTACCACTGTTAATTCTCAAATACAATTTCACTGCCTTTCATTATTTATTCAACTTACATCTCCTGGTCTCATAGTTTCTACACCACCATCCAGCATGTACTTGTGCTGACTTATCTCCTGCTTGTTTGTCTGGATCTGTCTCTTGAGGTTGACAATATCTACCTCCAAAGGTCGCACATGATTATCCCCAAGGGTACCAGACACAGACACAAGG